CGACTCCCGGAAAGAAGGGAATAAGATGGGACCAGGTGGTAGAGAAGGTTTGGAAGGAGATAGGAGACGAGGAGGAGACGTTGGACACGGAAGGGTTCGGGGGGTTCAAGACGAAAGTCAAGGAGATGCTAGAGAGTAGGGAGGAGGCAACCCTTCGGAAGAAGGTACGAAGCGAAGACCACTTGGAGATATACGGGAAGTTGAAAGAAGGGATAGGGATGAAGACGTACTTGGACGGCCCCATGGACAATGCGAAAAAGCTGAAATTGCAATTTCGAGTAGGCGATCTGGACTTGCCAGAACGGAGGAAGAGGTATACCAGCCGTAGGAGAGAGGAAGAGGAGGATAGACACACATGTCCATGTGGCAAATCGGAGGAGAGTAGACCCCACATAGTTGGGGAGTGTGAGTTGTACAAGAAGGAAAGAGAGGATCTCGAGGAGGAAATGAGACAGAGAGGGTGTGACATGGACAAGTTTGGTAAATTAAACAACAGCGAAAAAACGATCGCGATAATTGGGGATAGATGGTGGGCACAAGAGGCCCTAGAGGACGGGGATAAGATGTGCAAGAAATTTTTATGGAGTTTGTGGCAGAAACGAAAAGAGCTCCCAAATGTTGGTGGTGTCTCTAGTAGGTGTAGGAACGGTGCTCCGTCTCGAAAGGGACGCGTGGTCAATGGTCAAATGACTACGGCAAGCAACAAATGAGTACGCCCCCCACCCCCACCCCCGCCGTCCTTGTTGCGGTGTCCATGCCCCCCCCAGGTCGCGGGTGTTAACCCCAACGCGTACACTTACAACTCCGCCATCCGAGCCTGCGGGAAGGAGGGGCGGTGGGCGGAGGCGGTGGCCGTGTTCAGGCGGATGGCCAAGAGAGGAGTTGCCCCTGACGAGGTGTGTGTGTGTGTGCGCGTGCGTGCGTCGTGTTTCCTGTGCTTTGTCCATGTTGTGTCTATTGACCGTGCTAGCCTAGCGGCTGACCAGTATGAAGACGTCGGTGGTGAGCGTGAGGAGAGACTAAAACACCGAACTACTTTTTTTCCTGCATGCGAGAGAGAGAGAGAGAGAGAGAGAGAATGGCCGTGCAATCTCGATCTCGTATGCATCGCCACAGCAGTTACATCATTGTTTTCTGGTATCTTCTTGTCGCTCCCGCCTGCGTGTGTATTTGATTACATTATCCCCTATTTACCAGACGGGGGTGTATGTTAGAGCGCTTTCCACGACGGCAACGAAGCAGCGTGCGTCACCCGCCTCCCGGCTGCTGATCCCCCCCCCCCCACCCCCCCCCGCCGTCGCCTTGTTCCAAAAGGTAAGCTTCTTGGCGGCGATCGAAGCTTGCGGTAAGGGGAAGGAGTGGGCTCTCGCCGTGGCCCTGCTGAGAGAGATGTCCACGACCCCGACCGGGCCGCGAGATGGGGAGGGGCCGCCGCGGGTGACGGGGGGGGGGGAAGGGGAACGACGCGGCTGCGGCGATGCCGATGAATGAAACCGACCGTGGCGACGTACACGGCGGCGCTGACGGCGTGCGCCAACGCCGGGCAGTGGGAAGGTAGCGATCGGGCTTCTTAGAGAAGTCACGGACGGCGAACGCGGCCGCCACACTTGGCGGTGCAGAGCCTTCTTCCAGTGGTGGTGATGGTGATGATGATGGTGCCGTTGCCGTGGAAGAGGATGGTGCCCGTTCGACCGCCGCCGTCGCCGCTGACCAAGAGGCAGGGGACGGCGGCGGCGGGGACGAGAAACGAAAGGCAGCGTCGTTAACCTCGGCGCACGAGCCGGTCGTGGCCGACGTGCTCCTTTACAACGCCGCCATCGCGGCGTGCGGGCAGGCCGGGCAGTGGCGGCAAGCCGTCCGGCTCTTGTCGGAGATCTCGGAGATGGGCCTGTTCCCCTCGGTGGTGAGTGAGAGCTGTTATGAGCTCTTCCCGCGGTGTCGACAAGTTTTTTTGTTGTTGCAGGAAAATGTGGGAGATATGTTGATGCGAAGTCACGCGTCGTATGGACGGGTTTGTTTCCATGTGTTGGTTTACCGCCCGCCCTACTACGTGTTTTT